TGGTGCTTTGAACTGGCTGTCCCCTGGGGCCGGGAAGGTCACCCCAGCCCTGACAGCCCCACGCAGCAGTGCCCTTCTGCTCCCTGTCCCCTCAGCCAAGCAGGACCCAGCCCTGGATGCCGCAAGCCCGATGGGTGCAGGACTCCTGCCCACGGCCCCTGTCTCCCCGGTAAGCACTCACCTACCCCCAGGTTGGGAATTGCCCCTCCCCCGGTTGGGAATTACCCTCTCTGGGCTGCTGGGGGGCAGATGGGCTCTGAGGACTCACCTTTTGTAGGCTGCTGGACAGGCATGGGGGAAGGGGAGGGCGTGTGGCTGGGGGAGGCAGGAGTCACCTGAGTGTCCTCTCCTGTGAGAAAAACAGGGCAGAGGTGGGAGACACTCTGATTACAGGGTCCCTTTCCTGGCCATGCTGCGCTGGGGCTGGGGCTGCCCCTGCAGATGGTGGGGTGGGGCTACTTCCCCATCTCCTCACAGGGCTTTGGCTGTCAGTACCTGGGCAATGACCAACCTGGTGTGCATGGGGTGCTGACCTCCCAACTCCCCTTCACTCTGCCTTCTCTCAGCAGCAGAATGCTGTCCCCGAAGTCTCTGCCACCTTCCTCTCCAGAATGGCCCAGATGAGCCCAGGACCAGCTCCTGGCTCCAGCCCTTCCCAAGCAGTGCCGGTGCCACTGGTGGGCACACAGCCGAGCCCTCTGCGAGTCCCCAAGGCAGAGCAGGTGTCCCCCACCTCAACTTGTGGTGAGTCTGGGCACTCCAAGATGCTCCACAAGGCACCACAGTTCCTGCACAGAGCTTGGACTGAATATTGTGGGAATTTCAGCTTCAATTCCAGCTATTTCCATTCAGCCAGCTGAGCATGGAGGGTTCCTTCCCGTGGGGGAGGGCACAGCCCCTTCACCTCCTCCTTCCACAGGGGCAAAAACAGAAACAGGAAAAGACAAAAACAGAGCAAAATGTCGGACTGTGGTTTTGAAACCCTGGAGCTTGGTTTTGGAGCAGGAAGTGCCTGCTTTCACCCACAGAAACCAGCCTGGCTGCTGGAAACCAGGCTCTGGTGTCAGTCCCAGTTCAGTTTGGTGCTGCACACCATGACCTTGCTGCCCTTTGGGACTTTCTGGGTGATTTCCATCCCAAGAAAAGCTTGGAATTTAAAATGTCACATCCTAGATGTTCCCATTTCTGAGCAGCTGTAAAATGAGTGGGATTTGGGATATCACACGGTTGAAGGCTGGAGCAGTGCATCCCCATCAGCTGAGCAGCGTGGCTGCCCCAGGGTGGGGGCAGCACTGCAGGATGCTCCTCTCTGCCCTTCCCAGCACAGGACCCTGGTGTCACCCTGTCATGAGAGGCTGCTGCTGCTGCTGCTGCCCCTCTCCCCAGAGCAGCACCTTCCCTTTTCCAGGCAGTGACTGGCCCAAGCCCAGCCAGGCTTCCCCAGGACGCACTGTAGGGCTGAGTCCTGACATCTGCCTGCACCACCCCATGTCCCGCCGGGGTAGGCCTGAGTCCAACAAGGTACGGCAGGGGCAAGTACTCCCAGCTCCATATGCACCCCCTTTCCTCCTGCCCTCCAAACTCCCCCCACCCTTGCTGCAAGCTTTAGGCAAGCCTGTCCCCAGTGGGGCTGGTGGCCAGTGGTTGTCCCCACTGCCAGAAGGTTCCTGATGGCCCTGACCCGCAGGTGGAGAGTCGTCGCATCACACACATCTCCGCCGAGCAGAAGAGACGCTTCAACATCAAGCTGGGCTTCACCACACTGCACAGCCTGGTGAGCACGCTGAGTGCCCAGCCCAGCATCAAGGTGAGCACCCAGGGTCATCCCTGGGCACACAGGGACACAGTGTCACCTGGAGATGCTGCACCCCTGCTCTACCCCAAAGCACAGAGCTCCTGCCACAGCCCATGGGGCAGGAAGCTGGAGCCCACTGCAAGCCCCTGCAGACCCACATGGTGTGGCCATGCCAGGGGGGTCTGGACCCCCTTCCACTCTCACTCCATGGCCCCTCAGGTCAGCAAGGCCACCACCCTGCAGAAGACAGCTGAGTACATCTGCAAGCTGCAGCAGGAGCGGGCGGCTCTGCAGGATGAGGCACAGCGGCTGGGGGGGGAGAACGAGCAGCT